TGGAAGCACTGGACGTACAACCTGTCTTACTACAGGACTCATCAGCAGTGTGCACTCAGGACCCTACACGTAAGACTTGAACTCACAACTTTCAGTCTCGCGTGCGAGAACTTAAACAGTGGACCACTGAACTAGCCGGTATCCAATGATGTTAATGTCTTACTTCATCCAACACCGTTGGGTACCGCTCAATAGTCTAATGATTAAGTGTTCACGTGCGGGACTGAAAAATTCTGTGTTTCGAAACTCACAAACTTGGATCGTGTACGCGCACTGCTGAGGAGTCCCTTAGAGAGACGGACCGACCGTCCAGTACGTCCCGCTTTTCCTTCGTGGTCTAGCTTCAGTTGACTGATGAATTCAACCGTTAAAATACATGTATGTTTAATGAGCAAACAAAATAGGTGAACAAAGAAAATATGTTTGTGAACAAACCTGATTTTATTTCACTTTTATGCTCGCACAGGTTTGGTTTATTATGTTCATCCGATTGAACCTAAATCGAATTGTTTTTAAACACAGTAAATATAGTATGTATGAAGTAACAAAAATTCATTGTCGTCTCAAATAAATTTTAATCCATATGACTGAATGATTCAGAATAGGAATGCAGAGACAATATCAAAATCTGTTTCCGTCAGAAACCAATGATAAAAACGTTTTACGTGTTGATGATAATAATGATGATTATGTATAAGGTTTTATCTCTGTAAGTGGACGAAAAAGCTTTCACGTGAATTCCTGAAAAGCGTCAAGATCATCTTATTAATTCACAATACTTCTAAGACGAAACGGATTCGGTCATCAAAATGATAATTGATTTAAATATTGATTTAGAGATCATGTAACTCTGAATAGCTGTAATATCTCAAAGAATCAGAAATAAAATTGTTTACAACAAACGCCTTTGCGTATCATTGTATGAGAGACCATACGAATACATGTATCACTTAGTTAAAATACTTACTAAGTAACCAGTGTTATGGTATATTCACGAAACATATCTGATTAACCGGTTCATCTGATGTAAAAATTTCAGACGCTTTGTACCAGATAATCATTTTGATGACTAACTCAGATTAATTACTTGCAAGACTAGCTAAACGCTGTCAAATGCACGACGTGAGTGACTTGGTAACTATCAGAAGTTCACTTTGGTTGTTTGATCAACACACTTGTTCCTCACATAATAAACATACGACTGTAAAATAGTGTAACTTACTAGGAGAACTGGACAGTAGTCAAAAGCCATATGGCCTCCATATTTCTCCTTTTTTGTGTCAGTGAAAGGGAACAAGTTATCTATATACTGATATTTTTCATCTAGTTGATTGTCGTGTTGAAACAATGAGCAAATGCCGACCCCATTTTCATAACCGGCGCATTTTAGTTCGTTCGGAATACCACAGTAGGGCTCAATATCTTGTCCTCTGAGAAAAAAAGAATTCGACTTTTATTGAGATTAAAATTTACCACATTAAATTAACAACGATTATTAACTGCTTACGTCGTTTTGTGTTATTTTGTGTAGATGATGCTATACTTACATCCTTGCTTTGTTGTTCACTCTCAGACTGATCTTCGTGACTTTCGATTCAAATGTCGAAGGGCTTCTCAATGCAGATAGACATTAGTGTTTCGAACAAGTATGGAGATCGATATGATACACAGTGATGGACACATGTCAAAAACCAGGTTCAAAATCAATCAATGGAGAATGCAAACCCTATTAAAAACAATTGTGACTAATAAATACAAACGCTTTAAAATTTTACACAATTGGAGATTTGCACTTTTTTTCTGACATTTTGAAATTTGTGTGTGTTTTCGTCGAGAACACTGAGACTTTATAATCTGAGATCTGACATTTTAAGTGAATGTATCATCTAGATAACTGTTCTTCAATTTGAAGCTTTCCTACAGTGAATCACTTCATCATAAAGCACATCTGACAAAGTGTAACAAATCAGCAACGTTTACAGCTGACTTGAAGATTGTTGATGGTCCGATTATAGCTTTCTTTCCCTACAGCTGAGTTGAAGACTGTAATTGCTGGACTGTTTCTGTTAAAAAAATGTTAACATGACTGATGATGAGATCGAATTCATATACCGTTCACATGGTTCAACTGTTATTTTTACTAGTGAGGCGTTAAGAGGGGCAATCTCTTAATTGCTCAATAGAAATTTACAAACGGTCAAACATAGACATATAATGTGTCTATTTTACCTGCTTTTTCTGTTCTTAATGAATTCATAACAGCTCTTCATTACGAAATCACAACCCAAGCCTTTTCCCCATTTGAAATCATCGGCCATTGAATAGTCGACATCGTACATGCTTTTGGAAGCAAAATATATTGAATAAGAATGTGGTTAGGAGAGATCGCGATGTGATGATATTTGTACATTGATTTCTCATTTGAAATTAATTTAGATTTCTCTTTCAGCTTTTGTAACAATTTGTAAGGTCAGAAGATGTGATAACCGAATTTATAAAAGATCTAGACTAATAACATCGTAAATCAAATGTAAATTGTGAGAAACTTCCAGTGAGTTTGACCGATTGTTGTGTAACCTGGCATGACTAACAAGCGTAATTGAATTTCAAACTTGAAAGGCATTTAGAGAAAATTATTCAAATATGGAAGTATTCCTCTATGACTTAACGGTAACATAATGGTACTACATTGTTCAGACTGAAGTGTTTCTTGGTTCCTTTATTACTGTTTGTACTATAATTTTCGGACACTTATTAACCAATCCACTACAGAAACCTATTAATCATTATATAATTGAAATAAATACCAGCTAAGTAAATTTCTTATTGACGATTCGACCTTCTGATACTATACAATTGTAATTGCTTTTAGCTTCTGAGAATAGAAGTCTCAAACAAAACAGATGATTGCTTCGTCAACATCACATGTTATGAAGGATACTCAAATATCTAGGAATTCGAATATTACGTACCTTTGCATAAATTTAGATGATTTTTCATTTTAACAATCAATAATTTTTTTTCGGCATATCATCACAAATCAGTTAACTAAGCATACAAATATTTACCAATATTAGAACGAACAGTTTGTCAAAAAATGGGTGCCGAATATAGAAAATGCGTCATATGTAAAAATTATATTTGAAACGATATTAGCGTTTGAAATTTGGATAATTTCAACATTTAGTCAAATGTTCTATACCGTTTTTACTGTAACCATTGTCCAAATAAACAATATTACAGATATTGTTACATCGTTGTAAATGTCTTAAATATGTTTGCCAGAAACAGTGCTTGAAATGCCATGTCTTGTGTAGACCCATAGACCACCACAAAATGTGGCTTTTTTATTCTAAATTCAGACGGTAACATCAAAGGAGGTTTTTTTACAAGACCACTTTCGTTCACTGAAAATAAGTTTTGAAAGTCAATTACATTCGCGACCGCAGAACGAACAACAAGTGCAAGTTGGAAAGTGTTTGTTTATTAGTAGTTCCATATTATTGTCAGCCTTTATCTATACTTTGAAGCAAACAAGACGAATATCAAAGTTTTGGTCGGCAAAAGAATAGTGTCTATATTTTCAAACCTCCAATGTTCACATGTTACTTCTAATTGCTTTATATTGTGTCTCTAAAATAATTTACGTACAATTCAGGCTCACATATTAGAATTATCAAGCGAAAGCAAGTTGTCCACTGAGATTTGTCGCATTTATCGTGAACACAAAGGAAGTATCACTTTCTGTCACATTACAGTATTCCAGCAAGTGAAATTTATTTGACACTTTTAAACCACTTATGAAATCTAGTCGACAGTTAAGAATCACGCATTGTTGCACATTCGTAAATTCAACTTTGGCTGTAGTTACCTGTGGTAGACAGTGCTATGCTGCGCTGTATATTCTGCATTCACACAAAGTTGTGTTGAATAATTTTCCATAGAGGATCCATGCAACAGGGAATAAGGCGGTTTAGTAAGTCTTACCTGTATTACATTAAATCAAGTATCTTCCATGTAAACATTTGTGAAGTTTATCACGATTTAATTAATATCATATTTCAACATGTAACACTTACTTTATATCCTCGAAATAAGCCAGAGTTATTCTTGAAACACTGCTTGTTCCCAATAGATAAGGTGTCATCAAATCATTCTGATGAAAGTGAGGTGACATCAAAACATTAGCAATAAATCAGTATGGAACTTGTGTGATTGTGGTTCTTTCATATCACGATTCAAATTTCACTATGAAAACTAAACGCTGGAGGTCAACTTTTACATGGGATTTCTACTATATCATTCAAAACTGCCCTCCTATAAGTCATTTATTTTTTTTACAAAGATTTTATGGTTATATCTTTATGTGGTGCTTCTATTGAGCATCAAAAGCTATGTAAATACTAATGCTCTTTAATGACATTTTCGAAATAAATTGCATTGACGGGTATCCTCAGTGTTTTGCGGTATTCATGTGTTGATGCATTTATATATACTACACTTGGTTTTACACTGACTTGAAAACACCGAATTGCTTCGAATACATGCTAAGTTATTACTTATCAGGCTGAGAGCATTTCTAACTTTATGAGGTTTTGCTACCGATTTGTGACATCTGATTTATGTAATGCTAAATCGAGCGTGTTGAAAAGCCCAACAGTGTCGCTAACAATCTATGAAGCATCATACGAAAGCTGTGAATGTCTAACTTTTTTTCTACTTCAATGATACATGTTAAACTATCTTTCATTTATTGCACTCATACAAACGTTGATACTTGTTATGTTTTGCTGATCTACATACTCAAACGACAGTGTGAATACAAACATATTTGACATGAACAGTATTCAGAGGACAGAATATTCTGCTGGATGAATAACCAACTTCAAATATCAATAGTATAAGCAAACTCACTCCCATTACTCGGTGACTGAAATGGTTTTCATCTAACTCGATTCCTTGTAGTTGGTTGCAGTCGAAATGTTCCCTTGCTTCCTTCTTCATTCAGATAAACGATGTGAAGTGTCATTAGGAATTATCAATGAAAAGTCAATATATAATAAACGAAAATCCACATAATCTTGACTCAAGTTAGTAATTGATGCTTTAAATAAAGAGGCATAAGAAAGAAGCGATTAGAAAATGATTCTGGTTCAGACTGATTCTGGTATACTCATAATGTTTTAGGATTGAATATTCACCTAAAAACAACTATTTAACTTTAACTGTATTGACAGTGGTTTGAGGCATATTGTTTTTAATAATTTTGACTGCATTCGGATCAGTCTTTGTTGGCGAATGCTTGTCCTGGATTCCACATCTGGCCATATTCCATCCATTCTCAACAAACTACTATATCACATTCCAATCAATTTCTTTACCAACAAATTCCAGTTGAACTAAAGAAAATGACTTATATAAAACCTCTTCACAAATCCTGAAGTATAAATAATAGAATTTAGCCGGATTGGGTTGATCTATCTCCAGGTTTTTAACAATCATACATTATCATAGCTACTCAAGTTAGGACACGTCATCATTCATGATGCCGTATATGCTTTCACATTAACCAGAAGATGTCACTTATTAGCGCTTTGTCTAATAGTTACCAAACAAGGCATTTATTGTATTATATTCCATCTTATGTACCAAGATCATAATGCCAACAGACAACCAAGACACAGTTGTATTTATTAAAATGGATTAGAAGTGAACTAACAGGTTTGACTACACAAGCATAGCACATAAATGTTGCCTACCAATCAATCAAGTACAATACAATAGATTAATTCTATAATATGTTAAAGACATGGGCCTCCAAATCACACACAAATAGACTCAATTAACACCGACTACTAAACAAATCTAACCAATCGCAGTGATATTTGTATATGTACTAAGAAAAGACCCTGGGACATGGTTGATTATACGTAAAATGTACATTGTCGAACACACCCTATAGACCTGATATATATGTTTAGTTATGGAATCAATGATTATGTGTGTCATTTATAAATCTTTAGACCTAATTGAGTGAAGTGAACTTTAAAATCACACAGAATGTGCAGAGTAAATTAATGGAATCCATCAATTACAGTGAAATATAATCTCAAAATGTCATATTCAAGTACTGAGTGAGAGTGATGATCATCGGTAGTATTTACGTTTCACATGTTGACATGTTGCAGTTTAGTAAAAATGCTTCTCTGTTTATATGAAGTAAATATGCAACTTACCAGCATCTTTGGTAGACTGAGAACTTTCTTTTGTACTTTGTAGGTTCCTTTAGTTGATAGCCAAGATAGCGTTATGTTTTGAACAGATCTAGGGATTGGAACAAAAACATACAGCGATGTAGATTGAACTTTGTGAATTATTAGTTACTCCACTCAAAATAAATCTTTAATGTCTAGAAATAAATTCGATGTATTAGCTTATTACTTTGTCGCGTCCATATGGATTATTTCGGCTTTTGGGCAAACCAGGTAGTTTATTCTTCTTCATACATTGGACACACATGTTTGGACGTTGTGAGCTATCCGCTTATAACTTTGACCATTTAGTACTTTATCAATCGTTAGTTTATGTCCTATCATACCTTTATCAAAGAGAGTTGGTATACTGTCACACTGATTTCTGTCTGAGCAAATCAGTGCCCGAAGTATGGTTGTTTAGCTCAATTCGTATTTGGTTTTTTGTCACATTCATTTCTCAGACGGAGTTGTAAGAAGCAGAACCTGAGAAATCAAAAGGTGAATTCACGTTCATCGTTCAATTATTGTTTGTTCATAAAGGAGTTAGAAAATAGTCTATAGTTTTACCAGACACTGTGTAATAAAAATTTATTTAGTTTTAACATTTCAATTGAGAAACGAATGAACTAACATGGGATAAGCTCTAGTTTTGATGCGTTAATATCCCCACGCAACAATTCAGCCTGAACATTGCTCTTAGCAATAATCAACTACTGATGTCTTTGATAATATGTGAAAGAACGCTTGTTCCTGAAGTTAACCTGCATACAGAAACATGGGTTCCTATATTACGCTTGCATTTTCTTTACGTTTTGAACTGCGAATTTCAATTTTCACCCAACAAAATATGTAAGCTCTTTTAAAGTTAGAATGGAGAAAATTTAAGCACATACACACAGATGATAAAATCAACAGTTTACAACCTTTTTAATAATACTCACGGAATTTTTGCTGCTTTCAACAATTGCGACTCGTAAATTAAATCATGAAATCCCTTATGAAGCAAAGAAGAAGTCAGTGTGATTTAATTTCTTATACATTTTGTACTCAACTATCAAAATATTTTTTTAAAACACAAAACTAATTTAAGGACATCAATTTCATACTGTTTGCTTGAGATCATAGACCGATTGATGTTGAAATACAACTGAAAACCTGGAAGTACTGGACGGCCGTTTCGTTCAATCTTGTCACTCCTCAGCAGTGCGCATCCATCATCCTGTTTACGGGACTCCAACCCAAGTCCTTCGATCCCGTGAGAGAATGCTTAACCTGTAGACCACTGAGCTGGCATCCAACATCCATCTGTTCATGGTCTCAATCAAGAACGTAATAATCTTCGCAATTCCATACTGATAAATTTATAGTATTTCGATTTTGCAGTGAATGTAATTAACGTTTTGTACATTAAATCATCTTCATATCGACATTCTATAATACACCACATAGAAATCGCTTAGTATCTTTTATCTTTACTACTACACTTTACACTATTCCAATGAATTTAGTTGTTCATCATTCCAGATTGTTTCTCACAATGAGAAGTTCATATACATAATGTACAAACTATATGAGCATCATAATAATACACACTCTTAATATTGTTTCCATATCTGGCTAACTTATTTCAGAGAAACTTGTGTAATAATTAATACATTGTGAGAAGTGCAAACGCAATTGCACAAATTAAAGCAGTTGATACAGAACACAAAAGAAATGAATTTGTGATCAAACCAATTAAATATCTGCACTACTCATCGTACTACCCAAATGCTGAACGAAACAAGATTATTCGTGTGTCAACATACTGAGACCTTTTTTCAAAAACTGAAAACAACTTACCAGTATATGAGCCATTTCATGCTTTATTATACTGACCAACGTTTCATCGGTTATTGTGATCGATTCTTTCTCAGGCAAACAATAATTCAATACGCTCAAAATAGGCCTGTACAATTAAATACAAGTATTGGATTACATTACTGATAGAGCTTTAGTTAATGACTAATTATTTATCCACGAGATATGTTACCGCAAAGTGACGTGATGTGTATGATAAAGATGAAGTTAGACAGTCACGCCTTATATAATAATAATAATCTTAAAACTAAATTTTACAGTAAAAAGTGCTTACATTCAAATGAGGCAGTCATTCAAAGTAAAGGCAGCACTACAGAAGCATCATATTAAGTCCATCAACATAAAACATGAAACAAGTGGTTTGTCCCAATGAAAGATGCCATCTTGGTGCAGTAACAGGGTACGTACTTTACTTAATTTCCTTACGCCTGTTACTCCGCGTGAAGGAGCATATGCCGCTCGCCAGCATTCTCCATCCAACCCTGTCCTGGGCAACCCCTGCCAGCTCCTTCCAGTTGCTATTCATCCTTATCATATCTGCTTCTATTATCGGACGTAATGTGTTCTTAGGCCTTCCTCTTTTACGCTTCTCTTCAGGATTCCAAGTTAGGGCTTGTCTCGTGATGCAGTTTGACGATTTGTGTGATGTATGTCCTATCCATTTCCATCGTCTTTTCCTAATTTCTTCTTCAGCTGGAAGCTGATTTGTTCTCTACCACAGAAGCCTGTTGCTGATGGTATCCGGCCAATGAATGTTGAGTATCTTGCGAAGACAGCTATTTATAAATACTTGTGCCTTCTTGATGGTGGCTGTTGTAGTTCCTCAAGTTTCAGCTCCATACAATAGAACTGCCTTGACGTTGGTATTGAAGATTCTCACTTTGATATTGGTTGAAAGTTGTTTTGAGTTCCATATGTTCTTCAATTATAGGAATGCGACGTTTGATTTACCAATCCTTGCCTTTACGTCTGCATCTGAGCCTCCTTGTTCATCGATGATGCTTCCCAGGTATGTGAAGGTTTCTACATCTTCCAGAGTTTCATCATCAAGAGTGATTGGATTGCTGTTCTCCGTTTTGAATTTGAGGACCTTGGTTATCTCCTCGTGTATGCTGAGGCTTACTGATGCAGAGATGGCTGCTACACTGGCTGTCTTTGTCTGCATCTGTTCGTGTGTATGCGATAGGAGGGCTAGGTTGTCTGCAAAGTCCAAATCGTCTAATAGATTTTGAGCTGTCCATTATATTCCGTGTTTTCCTTCAGATGTCGTGATCCTTATGATCCAGTCGACCACAAGAAGAAAAAGGAAGGGAGGGTGAACAGCCTTGTCTTACTCCGGTCCGCAGTGTTGCAATTTGGTCTGTTCACGACCGATCCTTACGCAATCCAGATTGTTGATCTCGAAGTTGGGCGTCTACTGCATTTTTCATCCGGTTCAGCAACACTCTGTTGAAGACTTTCCCTGGTATTGACAGTTGTGTAATGCCTCTGTAGTTCTCACATTTGCTCAGATCTCCTTTCTTTGGAATCTTGACGAGGTGTCCTTCTTTCCAATCCATCGGCAGTTGTTTCACCTCCCAAATCTTTTTGAATAGAAGGTAAAGCATGCTTGTAGTTGCTTCGATGTCTGACTTCAGTGCTTCAGCCGGTATGTTGTCGGGTCCTGCTGATTTCCCGTTCTTGATTTGTCTGACGGCCATTCTGATTTCTTCCTTCGTTGGTGGGTTGACGTCTATGGGAAGATTTGTGTGTGCTGCTTCGATGTCCGGTGGATTCATTGGAGCCGGCATATTCAGGAGTTCCTCGACGTATTCTACCCATCTGTTCCGCTGTTGTTGAATTTCGGTGATTGGCTTGCCTTCTTTGTCTTTGACCGGTCTCTCTGGTTTACTGTATTTCCCTGCTAGTTTCTTCGTTGTATCGTAAAGCTGTTTCATATTTCCTTCTCTAGCAGCTTTTTTCGCCGTCGTTGCTAGTTCTTCCACATATTTCTTCTTGTCGGCTCTAATGCTCCTCTTTACTTGCTTGTTTGCTTCTGTGTATTCGGCTTGTGCTTGGACTTTCTCTGCTCGTGTTCGGCTGTTGATAATTGCTGCCTTCTTGTTCTCCCTTTCTTTGATCTTGTTCACTGTTGCTATAGAGATCCACTCCTTATGATGGTGTTTCATTAGGCCCAGAACCTCTTGACACGTTGAAGTTAATGCTTCTTTGATGACTTTCCATGTTGTCCTCCATAGTAGTTTCTTCTTCCTTCAGTAGATCTTGTAAGGCTTGGAACCTGTTGTTGAAAGCTATCTTAAATTCACTGAGTTTGTCAGTATCTCGAAGGAAGGCTGTATTGAACCTTTGTATTGCTGTTTGTCCAGTTGTCTTCCCGGTCTCCCACATTGTTCGGACGTTACATGTGCCTACAAAACGTTTTCTTTGGTTGTTAGAAGGGACATCGGCCTCGTGGCTTCCGACGGAACTCCGCTTTCACCATGAAGCGTCATAATTCTTCTAAATGAGGACCTTCTAACTCCCAGGGCAGAGTTAAAATGGTTTGAACTGTTTTTTCTGGTAAGCGTTTTTTTAGCGAGTTAGTTTTCTACGGTATGGGGAGGCTAATCTTATGCCCAGTTTTCCGCTTTTACCCGGGCTTGGGACCGGCAGTAACTCTAGAAGAGTTACAGGTGGAGTTAACAGGGTACGTAGATGTGGAATAATTTGAGCATTGAATCTGTTGATCCACACTTTATGTTTGATCTGGCATAAGTGGATCCAGTAGATAACACGTGAACGTGATCACAGAGGGAATTTCGTGATATTGTTCAACTAATTCGAGATAACTGAAAGTAACTGGTTTATTCATCGTATGACACTGTAATATTATAATATTCTGTTCTGGGGCTGTTTGGTTGCTCTCATCACCGATGCAAATCATCATAACGAGGCGAACTTGTATCAAATAGCATACACAAATTTCCCGTTCAAAATGATATCTAAATAGATATGAGGTCAAACTTAGTCGGCCGTTGTTCAGCAAGAACGGTTTCATAGTAAATAGCAGTTAGTCTCTTAAGGAAAGTCTACATTCATAATATTTTCACCATCGTTAAACTTTATCGACAGTGCCGTAGGTGACCTGCTCACAAAAGCCCTAAAGAATATTTTCGGCTTATTCGCACCGCACCATAATTTGATTTATTACTCGATATTGACTGCAAATAAACAGTTACAACATGAGGAATTCAAAATGTTTTAGATTTTCAGACAAGTATGTTATTCATTGAAGTCGATCCGGTAGAACAATTGTTTTGGTGATCTTTTTGAACCATCGGATAATTTGAACACATACTCTTTTGTCGATAAACGTGGCAGGCACTAAACAAAATGCGCAGATCTTTGGTCAACCGTACAAAACGTGAAGCAATATAGGTAATATAAAAAGTGTTACGATCAAACATCGACTGAATGTAACTTCATCATTCTATTTTTACTTAAATAAATAACTAGAAATAGAGAAAATTTCATATTGTATTTAACACATAATGTCCAATAAACTGAATATATTCACCAGCTAAATAGCTTACCTTCGAGAAATTGGATGGGTGTCAACAGGCTCACCAATAACATGTGTACATTTATCACTTGGTGTTCTACTTGAGTCCACCACAATCATCAATAACTGATTGGGAGCTATCCCACTGCCTTCTGAATAAACTTCTCTATATATTCCGTTCTCTTCATGATAGCACGACTGAAAAAATATGTTGGAATATTATGAAGGAGATAGTGTGATATGTGATTTGGTTCCAATCAGTTTAACGTAAATTTGTAGACAATGTTTTTATTGAGAACTATGCATTACGGATCTGTTGAGCAGAGTTTACTGGCTTTCGTGGAACGGATTTCAAAATCCTGCCAACTAAACTAAACCAAACTAAACTAAACGGAACTAGCAGATGTTCATTTCTGACTTCATTAACTGCACAGAACACAGTCAAGATCACATTTTATAAATTAGCTAACAGTAAGAGCTTCCCACCTGAAATACCTGAATTGTCGGCCAAAATAATATTTCACCAATTTAGGATAGTTTCTCAAAAGTTTGTTTTCATAGTCTGCCGAGATGATCAAGCTTCCGTATTTGTAAATTTCACTCTAGTGACAATAAGCCTCATTCCCTATGTTTCACACCTGCAACATTTTTTATCATATCGTTCCAATCAGATATTTGCCTGAGTTAAGACAAATCAGAAGTTTCATACATAACATGACGTTTAAGTGATAGATTAAAGTTATTACTGTTGACGACGATAAACACTATGTTTTGGATATTTTATGAGCTTCAGTTGAAGTAGTGGCAGTTTAACTTCATTATAATTTCAGTCGTCCACAGAAAACTACTTTGAAAATGAGCAGTTCATGACAGTTCACATAGAATTCATATATAATATAATAATACACTTACCGACAAATAATTATAAGGAATTCTAACACCAAGAAGTTCTCTATCTTGTTTACAATAAGAGTTCACACAGGATGGTTTGTTGTTTTTCAATTCTACAAATTGTTTTTCATTCGTACAATCTCTTGAAAACAATAAAATTTGTTAACAAAGAAATAAATAGCGATGGTGAAAAATTTGCAAATGATTTTATCGTCATAGGTTTAACGTGAATATTGTGTAAGTTAACAAATTCAGTTTCATTCATATGTCAATAGAGTTAAACTCTATTAGTGGTTTTTTTCTCTCTGAACGTACTTGAAACCCTATTGAAACCAGTCACAAGTGAGTTTTCACAGACGATATACATATGCTTTCCCCATTCAATGCTTTGTTGAATGATATGAATAAGAAATAAATCTACAATGTATATTACATGAAATGTTCAAGGATCATGTATATATATATATATATATATATATATATATATATATATATATATATATATATATATATATATATATATATATATATATATATATATATATATATATATATATATATAAACGTTTTAAAGCGAAATAGTTCGTTTTGAATTCATCAACCTATAAATTATTATTTACCTTCCTAAATGCACTGGTTTCTCTCTGTCAATCTTAACCTTCAGTGTTTTCTCCCAATAACTTGAAGCACTTTGGATGGCTTTCTGTTGACAAGAACAATACACAAATAATCATTGACAGTAAGTGAAGTGAATAGTTTATAAATTTTATTATCAAAATAAATTATCACAGTGGTCATGAGCTAAGTAAGTTCAGAATATTTGACTTTCCAAAGTTCATCTTCCTATCATTTACACATAAGCAATTATTTGAATGTGAAGTGCATGGTAATTATGGTGTTGGGCATTTACAATAAGTCTTCTCGTCGGATGTTGGAATCAGTTTTCTGGCAATCTGAAGCAACCAATTTGCCCAACACAGTAAATCCGTGAAACTCCGTCGAACAAACTTTCATAAATTGCGATCATCACACAAATCATCGTTCATAAAATTCCTACCATTCGAAATAAACTACTCTGCATAACTCATGATTCTAGTAATGAGATTGTTACAAAGATTCATGATATATTTTCACGAACCCCTGATTGAACGATAGAGTTATTTATTTATATTTGTATATGAGTTATGTAAAAAACTTTATTATAAGGCGTAAGGAGAATCGGTTAGTTTCCTCAATTTTTAAGCCGGTTTGTTTTTCAACAGCTTCTCGTGTTATGGATTCCCAACTACGTGATCCCTGAATCTGAAGATGTAATTACTATAGAGATTACACTCAACATTCAGCACAATAGACTAGCTCAAATGCTGTGAACTTAGGAACACTTAATCAACATTGAGTGGCTCGGTTAATCTGTGCCTTTTGCCCTTTTATGCTGAACATATAATTCCACTTTACCTTAAATATGTTGTTTGAAATTATTGAATATAATATTACTGATTTCCACAACACGAAGTGTCAGTATAGAAAATGATGAGACTTCCACGTATGATCTAATCAACCGAATAGTCAGATCATGAATAATCGACAATTTGAGGATTTTGTCTATTATTAGAATAACAAGGATAAATGCACTAATATCTAGTTTGACCATAGTTCTACTAGCTTATATATTCATTTAATACTATTGAACCAACAATGCGTCCATACCACTTCTGTCAATACGCTATCGCAATATGTCCACAATATTGATCAGATACATGAACGTTTTTCTATTTCCATTCACTGAAATAACGAGAAGGTTTTCTACATTCACTATCATCCAAATGTTGGACGTTCAATCAACTTACTAACTTATCACACCATCAAATAATATACCATAATCCAAAACAAGACTTACCTTTATTTTCGGAAATGCTTGATTCTGTTGTAAATCTTCATCATAAACTAAGATGATCTCCAACTGTTTATTGGTTAACGGTCTTTTCTGTAAATTTCATGAATAAGTATAATGTTTTCGAAACATTGTTGTTCAGTGTTCTCATTGATCACTCACTTGTAGTTCTTGGACTACTTGCTGGTCACGTTTACAAGTCACCGATTTCAACAGTACAATACACAGAAGGACAAATATGTAGATTTTCATTGGTATGCTCCAAAGTGAACCACCGTTTACTACTCTTCTGAATGTATTTATAATAGATGATGCATGTGAACTTCTCATAATTTTTTTCACTTTCAATACAGGTTGTATTAAATATTTCTCATGTCCTTGTTTACTCTCTTTTCTAAAACTTTGATTACAAATAAAGACGATGAATTTGAAGTGTGTGAACAATCAAAGGACCATAATTGAGGTAAATCTCTCAACTGATTTTCCACGAAGGACACGATAAATGCACTTCACATGGTTCAACTTGTGTGTACTCTAGCTTAACAAAACCGTATTTTCAAGTAAATTTTTGTTGTTGTACAAATCTCACGTGTTTTTCCGGCTTTAACAAGTTGGTTACCATCCACCGATTTATCATATATCGTTGTAATGGTAAACTGAAAACAAAACTCCTTGAAATAACAATCAGCGCGAATCGTAAGATAATTGGAATAACCAGAAATTTCGAAATACGTTCGTCTCCAAGCTAATCATCATCCACTAAACCTGTAAATATGTTGTTCAATGTTAATTCAGTACTGATATTCTGAAGGTTGTGTATCGACTTGAGAAGTCAATGGTCTAAAATAAATATTTAGATTCACATATTTAAATGTCAATGAATCGGAAGCTGGTGCGAATAATAAATAACAGCGTTTTCCAGTATAATGTCTGTGACTATTCATCAAGATTTAAATAAATATTTGCACATTGGAGGTCATGAGTGAATCTAAGCCAAACCACCATTGAAAACATGAAATCACTGGGCAGACGTTTTTCCTAGTATGATAATACATAGCAGAGCTCTTTCACGACTGTGTACGTAATTTAAATTGTGAAACTACAACAGTTTCCACAAATCCCCATACTGATTTAAACAGATCGTTCGACAGATATTTGGTACTAACTATGGAGAAGAAAGAAAGCGGAGAACATTTATTTTAAGTGATCATTGTGGATAAACTTCGGATGATCCAAACATTATGTTAAGAAAGCTTGTATACACACCTTCACTGTAGTGATCAGATTAAAATTTCATATATTTCAACTTACATGTCCATCATGAAGAGATCACCATCGAAAACCTGTTAGAACAACCGTTTCGTTTAAGTGTGATATATTCAGCGGTGATCAAACACGATCCTTTTTGCAGAAATCAAGTTCGAAGTATCAAACTACACTTCCACATGTTCAAACCTTAGACTTCTGAGTTGGCACCCAAAAGTGTTGACCACCAACTTCTATCGATGATAAAACACAGAAATCATCAAGTTGTATAGATGGATAGAAACAAAGTTCATTTACTTGTTCGTAGGAATCTGTCAAGGAGTACCTTAATAAATTCTATCTGCTCTGTTCAGCGTGTTTCGACTAGCCTCTATATTTAGTGCCTTTGCTGTCAATCTTATTTTGCATGCGCCTAAACTTTATATCTTCAAAGTAAACTATTTCCAAATACCTTACACTTATTGCAGATGTCTTCCCAAATTTCTGAATGTCAATAAGGGATCTGAGAACATGCTTCAAACATTGTTTTTTCCTTTAATCCCCACATTCAGCAACCCAGATGTTTCTTCCACATACACAGCATACCAATGATTAAATTTAATTTTTTATCTGAGTGGATGAAACTATGAATCCATTTGTGATGTTTCTCTATGTATAAATCAAAATTAGAATTAAATAATAAACAACGGAGTTTAGATGCGTCATTTCATTGCGTGCAATCTAACGTCATGCTTTAAAATAATTAAACGTTATACTATTGTCAAATCTAAACCATTCTATCTTCATTCCGATAGGCTTCAACACTTTCTGTCAACAGTTAATTTAGTTCAAATGAAAGCAAATACATGAATCGTGCACAACTTATGTAAGACAATATTATAAAGATAGTTGTGTTATTTTAACTTATTTTTTTAATCTATTCACAACTGCTTACTTTGTGCATTTTGAAGTTACCGGAGGAACACAAATACCTGAACAGAACTTTACATATTAATTGATTATATTGATGATTTATCATTATCGATTAAAAGTTAACAAGCACTTTCATTAATTATCAGAGAAATTCATTATCGATCTTTCACTGTAATCAGCATGTTTTCATGTGATACTACTCAAAAACTTATTGACTTACTCAGAATCTATTTATTTCAGTTCATGGAGTGATAATCTCTAACTCACTATCTCATTCATAGCTATTTAGTTGGTAATTGATCTGTCTGTCTAAGGTCTAAAAGTTCATTTCGATCTTGTACGATTGCTGGCAGGAGTGTTAGATTGAGAATGAAATTTCGTGTCGTTAATGGATTACAGATTATAGCGAAGAGTTTACATTGAAATAACAGATAAGTGAATGGTATGGAAACTAATGAACAACAAAGTCTGAGAAAATTGATGAATATTTTGCAAACGAATTATTTACTCCGTAGTTCTCAGATTTCATCATGATATTCTGTCATTTAGTTTTAATGTACACTTGGTTGTTCTCGCTTGTGTTTTCTTTTGCTATAGTACATCGATTCCACATATTACTCAGTCTTCCACTAATCGTGGTTATAAAATGGTACTTCACATGAGATGTCATCAATGGTTATTTTGACTAATAATCGCATGATCTTGTGACGTAATGGCAACCTTAACATTAGCAATTTCTTATTCTTCTGTAAACAATCGTGAGTGAATGCACTTTAATTATAACGTGCATTTGATTTGAACTTGATTTTAGCTTTCGATCAATAATTTCACTTCACACCCTACGAATGTTAGAGGATTTTTCTGGAAGGAATATTCTTCGTTGATCTATCAGTCTTTCAATATGGAGTTCTAAACAGATTTCGATAGACTTAAGAACTTGATGAAAACATTACTCAAAACGAAATTTCATACGATGAAATCTTCTTTACCTGAATGATTTGAAGACTTCAAACTCATTGTCCTGATTAAAGGGAACTGAGATTATAGATTGGAGAGCATATTTAGGTCAATTACGCATGCATTTTCACTCTTAAGTATCAAGTAGCTTACTTTGAAATGTAATTGTAAAGTGAAAAGCTTGAAGAGATTGTGTGAAACTCTGAAAATTGTAATGTTGAAGATGCATTCACAGTTAGAAATGTAACTGTTTACTGAATAATAATAAGTAGTATATAACATTACACAAAAGTGATTTGACGAGAAGAGAATACGAACAGAGAGCGTAAATAAACTTAACAATCATATTGTCGTAACCAACAACGGCAGTGATCCTACAGTTATCGTTGTGAAACATTACTTTTATATATTTCGACCACTTCAAAAAGTATACACCGACGAGAGCTTTACTTGCAAGTCAATGTAACCAACAATGACAGTGATCTTACAGAGATCGTTGTGAAACAGTATTTATAAATATTTTGACCATCTCAAATAACCTACACCGACGAGAGCTTTAATTGCAAGTCGAGAGAATTCGTAGGACTAAACGTATGTACTGGATTAGCGCTTGAGAATCTGTCGCATCTAAATAGTGACATTGGCTAACTCGGGTAAGGTTCACTCTGCTATACTGAGAGAAGAGGCTTTAATGTTTGAAAAACCCTTTATTTTATTGTTCCCGCTATTTCAAAGCTATGGCACCGTCCTAGACAACCGAAAGCTGACTCAATTCACACTAAAGTCCGAATGAGTCCGATGCTATGAACTTTTCAATTACCAGCTGGTGGCATTTATTTCAGTTTCTTCAAAGATTATTGAATCCCTTATATACGATCGATCACGTGACTGCCTGGTTTTCCCAAAAAACAGTTTTAGGAAGGGTTACTTTCACATCACGAGTCTGCTGACTAGGATGAACAGATAAATAACCATCCTGAAACGCAAACAGAAAGTGTATGTTATATACCTAGATCATGCATATTCTATTAATAAATTCAAGGTGTTAGTTATTAAGCCTCAATCAACAAGCGAAAGTGGAATCTAAACAGTCGGTATTTTATGTTTAGAGTGAACCTTACTTATTCTCAGAGTACGGATTAAGTCATTGAACTTCGCTGACGACGATGGACTTTGAAGTGAGATGTGCAATAAAAAACGATAAACAAAAACGTTGGTAAAATCTGACCCAATTTCAAAGCTGTGGAGGTAACAACAGACTCACTTTCAAGACTTTAAAGTGCAGAATGGCCTATGTTCTAAATTACACATTAACATGAGCGGTTCTCCTCTAGAGGTATCACAAACTCTAATAGATAGTAGCATCTCACGTACAATTGAGTTTGTTCATATCTAATTCCGTTAAGCCCTTTTCGTAACTTATTTAACGGACAGTCATTCGTATAATAACAACCTGATCTATACCATTGTACCTTTATTATTGTCACACTTGCATAAATATGAACTCTTGAGCATTTCTTACTGCCTGCGCATGTATTCATTCCGCTAGCTTTATAATTTTGATTATCTGTTCATGGTGCAATAATAAACGTGATAAATGTAACGACTTTTGATCAATGCACCGTCGGAGAGCTATCTAGTGACGGTTATCGGGACGAATTAGGTACGGAGTTTAAGTACTTTTATATTGAATATCGACCACCACAAGATCTTGAAGTATGAGAACGTAGTATTCGCTGCTTCACTTAAACAGCGTGCGACTACGCAGGTAAGTACCGAAACTCGGGTCATGAAATCGCTTCACTGAGACTTCACTGACTATGGCATACGTGTTTTTTGGTGGTGGAAATAAATGTGATTGACCACTGAGTGTGGACAAATAGGCAAACAACCCAATGACTATCGATTATGCTATTTCGTTTTCTGTTATTCATTTTTACTCTGGACTCACTGAGAAA